CTAGACCCTCATGCTCCCTGACAGCTGCGCGGCTGCCAGATCCAGTGGGACGTATCTAACAAGTCCCCGAGAGTCTTTTCTGTGCGCCTAACTGACTGTCTCTGCTTCTCCAGGTCAGCACACACGTTCCCTGAGAACCAGGAGCTCCTTGCACCGAGCACACACCCAAGACTTCTGTCCAGGGGGCAGATAGTCATACATGTGACACTCCGTGCAAAACACTGGATAGCCCCCAGCCCCCCGCTGGCATTCTGGCTTCATAATTCTTTTAAAATAAGTAAATGTAAGCCCACTTTTAAATCCCTTTGTATTTATGTGTTTTTTCTTGTCAAAGTGCCAGCAGCCTGGTTCCTTCTTGGGACAAGTGGAGACCGTCTCGCCTGTACAGCTCCCTCTTGTTCCAAAAAGTATCCCAGTGCCTAACAAACCTGAACCCTTCCCCCCTACACCATCGTCTCATCCACGCATTGAGACTCCTGATCTCTGCCTGTCTCTCCGGCCCTGCGCGTGGAACAGGTAGCACTTCTGAGAAGGCTACCTTGGAGGTCCTGGACCTAGGTTTCCTGCCCAGCAGCCAAAATTTCTCCTCCAGGACCTCACAACTGCATTTCCCCACATCGTTGGTGCCGACATGCACCACGACCACTGGCTCCTCCCCAGCACTATCTACCAGCCTATCTAAAACATGCGTAATGTCCGCTTTGCACCAGGAAGGCAAGTCACCATACGGTCAGTATGGTGCAAAACACTGGATAGCCCCCAACCCCCTGCTGGCATTCTGGCTTCATAATTCTTTTAAAATAAGTAAATATAATCCCCCTTTTAAAACCCTTCGTATTTATGTGGTTTTTCTTGTCGAAGTCAACTTACCTTACGGGGAAGAGTGTCAGACTCCCATCGCATCAACGAAGCACACACTTGTAGAGAAGGTTTTACTTTATTTGAAGCAATAGGTGCATAATAGGATCACTGTTCAGAATGAGACAAAGACAAAGAGCCTAGGGCCTTGGCTTTCTGGCTCTTCTTGGGCTTCTTACAGAGCCCCTAGTCTAAGAGTCCCTAGGCGAAGAGCCACAGGCAAAGAGCCCTTTAGTTTGCCCTTCGGTTCGTGCCAGAGGCGCATGCCTCTGGCAAGGTGCTTTCTCAAATACTGAATTACAGTCAATCACAGTCCAACAATGCCCCTTCCTCTCCCTCTCTCAAGCAGCCAGGACTCTGCAATAACTCTAATCGCTTTCACAGACTCCCAAACACAGTCCTCCCACACAATATCCTCAGCTGAATCACCTCAGCTGAAAGCAAGTAAAAAAACACTCTCCCCTCTAGCGGCTCTGTCTCCTGCTCCTGCTCAGAGCTCAGCTGGGTCTCAGAGGGACAGAGTCTAGATTCACATTAGCAATGATTGGGTTAGCCAGGTGCTGTGGATGGTTTGGGCTGGGAGTGTCCATTGTGGAACAACAGGGTGGTCTGGTGTTTCCCTGGTCCCAGACAATGGAGGTGATGTTTCTTGATGTGCGGCAGGATGAACCTGAATGGGAGACCATTCACTAGACATGGAGAGTTAATGTTTACCTTGATAGGTCTGGCAGAGGTATAGGAATGCAGATAGCTTAGACAAATATATGGAGACAGGAATGAGAGGATTATCCTGAAAGTGAAACAGAAGTTGGGGCTGGAAACATTCCTATTTCATTCAGGACAATATCCCAGCACAGGGGGAGGGGGAAGTAGACCAGTATATCTGACGGAAGAAAGGCTGGCCATTTGGTCACTAGAAGACACCTGAGGGAGCAGAGACTTGCCCGTTTTAGCCCTTTTTGGACTGAGCTGACAGGAGAGAAGGGGGGGGGGAGGGTCCTGCTTGCTTGCTGGCACGGAGGGTGCTCGGCAGTGCAGCCAGCCTGGAGGACCTGCACTTGGCCGGAGATGTCCCGGCCACAGTGAGGTTCTCCTGGCCTCCCAGCAAGAGCCGCCGTTTCAGCCAAGCCTGGCTTCACGAGGGCATTGCTTGTGGAGGTTGAGGGGTTGTTTTGGGGTGTCTCCCTCTCGGGAAGAGCCCCCCCCCCAGGAACTGGGTCTGTGCGGCTAGTCACCCCTCGGCCTGCCCGTGGCCCTGGGGAGGGGGCCCCCGCCCTGGCACTGCCCTGCCTTGCCCCCCGGGAGGTTTTCTCCTGCAGCGAGGCAAGTTTGGACCTGTACCTGTTGTGCCTGGTGAGGGCCAGCCAGGACGCCTTTGCCTCTGCCTGCGTGGAGGGGTGTGTGTGTGCGCGTGCTGTGCTTCAGGAAGAGAGACGGCTGGCTCAGTGGGACAGCCGTGGCGAGAGGCGGGCCCCCTCGGCGCCTCCGGAGCCAGGGCCTGGCCTCCTTTCCCCCTCCCCCTGTGCCAGTGAGCTTCCTGTGGGGGCGTCTGGCTGTCCAGCGCTGGAAACGGGGTGCTGGGCTTAGAGGGCTCTTTCAGCCGCTCTGCCTGCGGGGCTGCTTTCGATTCTGGCTAAGGGGAGTGGAGTCGCTTCCCCGGTAGAGACGGGTGCCCAGGCTCCCCTTCCGAGGGCGGGGCCTGAGAAGCCATCGCTGTGCCCCCGGGTGGCAGCCGGAAGGCCTTCCACATGCCCGTGGCCTCGGGGGGAGCTCCTCCCCCTTGTGCTCAAGCGGCGGGTTCTGGCTGCGCCGCACAGAGCGGAAGGGGGAGGACCCTGTGGGGGAGTCCTGAGGCTCTGGAGTCCGTTTAGAAGTTGGCAGCGTGTTTGCTGGACTGCAGTGCCAAGCGTGGCTGTACTCCCCCGCCTGACGTGGCTCTTGGTGAGGGTCACGTGAGGGTCTGGCAAGCAAACTGGAGCAGAGAGTTGGCAGGGGGCCAGATCTCTGCATCTTTTGCCCCCAAACTGGTAACTCAGGTGGGTGCAAGAGGGAAAGGCCAGCTACGTGTGTGCTATAAGAGCCGTCTGTGGGCAGGGGGACAAGGTTACCGTGGCAAATAGGCTCCATGGAATAGCCCGCAGAGCCAGGCCAGGGCCTGCCAGCTCCCCCCTGGGCCAGGCGCACTCGTGCTCCGGGGCCTGGCCTGTCGAGGGGGGCCTGGGGAGTGCGGGGGGTGGGTGGGGCGCACCTGCCTTAGCTGGGGACCGTCCGTGCCTGTCCGTCCTCCTTCCTTCCTTCCTTCCTTCCTTCC